GCACTGCCTGTCTTAAATTTAAGTAAACAAAACTCTAAACATTTATAAAAATCCAACCAGTCAATTAAGGCAAAAAAAAAATTGATCTTCATTTTCCTGAAAGTGGGTGTTTCTTGAAAATGACCCTACTACACAAATTTAATACATTACTCGAAAAACAAAGTTATTTTTTTTTAATATAATGAAATTGTATTTATTAAAATAGCAAAATTAAATAATAATAAAAAATGTAGAAGCTACAATTAAAGGAGTTTTAATTATTTTTCATTTGTACAATCTTCCTTTAGCGTTTTTTTGTTTGTTAAATCAGTAGAAATTATTGATTTTAATTCTTAGTTTTGATACATACATGTGTAAAAATCATGTTATGGATGTGCGTTACGAGTTTCCTAAAAAATTGAGCATAGGGTTTTAAAGTGTCGAAAAAAAACCTGGAAAAAAGAAAAAAAACTGTTTTTTCCTTTTTTCTCAGGCATTGGTAAAAAATAAAATTGTCTTTTTTAAGAAAAATTTATTTTTTTGGGAAATATACACATTTAAAAAAAGTGGCAATCAACAACTTAACATTATTTTAATTAAAAAAAATATCCTTAAATAGTCCAGGAATTTCCCTGACAGGGGTGCTGATAATGAATCAAGAATATTCCCCAAAAATTTGCTTTTTGACTCATAACTCGCTAAGCGTGCATTTTTTCAGAATTTGACCTCTAATACTTTTGATTATGTACTAAATAAGGCACACTTTAAACCCTATTGCACACCTATATGATGTGCAAAGTTGAGCGTTGCTTTCAAAATCACTTTTTTGTTTTTTTTATTATAGCCCAATTTTAAAAGTAATCGATCCCAAACCTTACGGTAATCAAACATAACCGAATGGATGATTTTTTGAGGTACTAGACTTTTTTCAAAATAATGAGGATAAGTGTACCTAAAAATCTAGTCTGGAACGAACTGGCTCATTAAAGCCGTTTGGGAAATAAAAAATGGGTTTTTTTAAAAAAGAACCCACTGTACATTGAAAAGCAGTAACTTTTGAAAAAAGCCTAGTACCTCAAAAAATCGTCCATTCGGTTATGTTTGATTACCGTAAGGTATGGGATCGATTACTTTTAAAATTGGGCTATAATAAAAAAAAACAACAAAAAAGTGATTTTAAAAGCAACGCTCAATTGCACACTGCGCATACCAAAAGGGCACATCATATAGGTGCGTAATGGGGTTTAACGTGTGCCTTATTTAGTACATAATCAAAAGTATTAGAGGTCAAATTCTGAAAAAATTCACGGTTAGCGAGTTATGAGCCAAAAAGCAAAAAAAAATAAATTTGGGGACGCGGAAAAAATTTTTGGGGAATATTCTTGATTCATTATCAGCACCCCTGACTCTACATTAAAAAAAATAAAACCCGACTACCATCGAGTTTTCCTTCTACAACCTTTGTTTCCTGGACTAAAAGAAAAAAAACCTAAACATTGAATTAAATTAAATTGATTTAAGAAAATAAACGTAAACGTTAAATATACTTTGGTTGGGTCTTTTTGCAAAAAGGTGTCCATTAAAAATATCTAATTACAAAATAATGAATGATTTATAAAGTTAAATTACAAAGTGTCAAATAAAACGAAAGTTATGTTAATACAGCACCGAATATGTTTTTTTGCGACCCGGTAAAATATTCTTACTGAACTAAAATAAAAGGAAGAATTATTATAATCATAATATTATGGCTATATTCAGAAAATTTACTTTTGTATTTTTTTCCTATTACCCTTTGAATAAAATGAAAAAATGCAAGTCAACTGGTTATATTAGGGAAAAAAGATAAATTAAGAAAAAAAAAACCACACAAAATTTCTGAAAATCATTACAAATTAAATTGGCATGTTGCCATCTGAAAATTTAAAGAATAATTTTTTTTAATTAAAATTGATAAACTCTTTAATGGAAAGGCATTGTAGCATTAATGGAAAGAAGGGTTTGTCAGTTTTATTGACTGTCCCAGTGATCGTTGAACACTTTCTGTTATCTGTCAATTTACAAAAATCTACTTTCAAAATTTTTAAAATGAAAAACTGGATTTATAAATTTATATTTTAAAGGCTAAAAAACCGCCAGCTCCTTCATATTTCCATTCCTTTAAATCGAATAAAGCGCCTTAGAAATTGCGAAATTAATTTCCTGACTCAAAAGGACTCTAAAACGAACACTTCGCTACGTCTAAAGGATTACATTAAAATCGAATTATCATGAAAACGTCCATGTAAAAAGTTTAAAAGTTACTCTTTCGTAAGGGTTTTTACCATTAGTTAGTTTAGGTTTTTGCTCATTCGATTTTATAGGAAATTTTAAAATTATGAAATTAGTTATTAGTTATAGAATTGTTAATACAAATATACAGCTACAACAAAACTGTGATATCCATGAGTATAACACGAGGACAAACCACCTGTTACCAAATGTTACCAACTTTGGAAGAAAACGCATAACTTATAATGCTTCAAAACTCTTCAATGAACTTCCTGATGAAATATAAGCTTTAACAAATTTACAAACTTTTTCGAACGCTGTAAAAACTCATTTGTTTAATTTAAGACTTTAATTTGCATGTGATATTAGTAATAATGCTATTATGTTAAAATCTTGACTATACAAGGTGTCCCTAAACATATTGGCATACATTTAGGAAAAGATTGAACAAGTCAAAATAATAATAATAATAATAATACATGGTGATAAAGTTTTACTTATCATATCAGTTTTTTTTAATATAACCTCTACTATGGTTGTCTTGGAAAGGTGCAGTAAGTCATGACTGTTCGCAAAATATCATGATATTTTGCGAACAGTCATGACTTACTGCACTTACTACCAAAAAACACATTCACACATAATTATAATTGTTTGAGTGAACACTAGGGTGTCCGTTATTTGGGCGATGTGCGAATTTTTTTGCTCGCACCCCCCAAAAAGTTGTAGTTTTGGGAAAAAAAAATTTTTGGTAATTTTTTTAGATTTTTATTTTTTAATTAACCCGTGCCGCAAGAGGGTTAAAGATTTAATTATTGTTAAAATATGATTAAATTTTGCCTTTCACTATAGGCTTACCACTCCACGATTTTTCAATGAAAAAAGTCTGTCGAGTGGTTTTCTTATAGTTCAAACACCGCTGAACCCGAATCTGAAATTCGTTTTTTTTTTCATTAATCGTTTTTTTAGAATAGCCTGTGTCGGGAGTAGGTAAAATCGCAAATCGGATGAAAAATGGGATTAGGCTCTTTTCACATTCAAAGTCCTGTAACGTCGCCAGTTTTCAATAAAAAAATCTGAAAATTGGTATCTGACATTTTCATTGATGACAGCTGTCAAAATAGCTGTCAAAAATCCCAAAAAACGGTTTTTTATTAAAAATGCCCATTTTATGGTTATTTCATGCGCTGAATCTGAATTTGATGCACTTTGAATTATTTATTTTCATAAAACCGAAATCCAAATCACTCAATAAAATGTACAAATGATTGAACTGTCAAATTTCAAGTTCCAAACATAATTTTACAGGGGCAAATGGGCATTTTTAATAAAAAATCGTTTTTGGGATTTTTGACAGCTGTCATCAATGAAAATGTCAGATTCGAGTTCAGCGATGTCAAAACCATAAGTATACCAATTTTCAGATTTTTTTATTGAAAACTGGCGACGTTACAGGACTTTGAATGTGAAAAGAGCCTAATCCCATTTTTCATCCGATTTGCGATTTTACCTACTCCCGACACAGGCTATTCTAAAAAAACGATTAATGAAAAAAAAACGAATTTCAGATTCGGGTTCAGCGGTGTTTGAACTATAAGAAAACCACTCGACAGACTTTTTTCATTGAAAAATCGTGGAGTGGTAAGCCTATAGTGAAAGGCAAAATTTAATCATATTTTAACAATAATTAAATCTTTAACCCTCTTGCGGCACGGGTTAATTAAAAAAAAAAAATCTAAAAAAATTACCAAAAATTTTTTTTTCCCAAACTACAACTTTTTGGGGGGGTGCGAGCAAAAAAATTCGCACATCGCCCAAATAACGGACACCCTAGTGAACACAGTGTCGTTGAAACGGGGGTTGCTTTAAGCTTATTGTCCCATACAAACTTTGAGGTTAGGTTTTTATAACATTTGATGCAATTTTTAGATTACACAGTTCGACTACCATTAAAAAGGTGTACCTCTCAAATTTCGATAAAATAAACCGTTTCCGAGATATTCGAGATTACAATAATTTTTATATCGCATTATTTAAAAGGATTAAAAAGTATATGATAATAATTTGTTAAAAAATATAATTTGTTATTAACAAATTATATTTTTTAATTGAAAAAACTAAAAAGGGCATTCTATGAGCCTCGGGACTTTTTGCCCTGACCGTCACATTAAAAAATTTGTAGTTTTTCAAATAAAAAATTTGTTATCCTTTAATGCGATATAACAATTATTGTAATCTCGAATATCTCGGAAACGGTTTATTTTATCGAAGTTTTAGAGGTACACCTTTTTAATAGTAGCCAAACTGAGTAATCGAAAAATTGCATCAAATGGTATAAAAAACCTAACCTCAAAGTTTGTATGGGACAATAAGCTTAAGCTTCTATGACACTGTTCACTCGAACAATTGTAATTATTTGTGAATATATGTTTTGGTAGTAAGTGACTGTTCTCAAAATATCACCTTTCCAAGTCTACCATAGTAGAAGTTATATTAAAAAAACTGATATGATAAGTAACACCATGTATCTTTTAAACATACGTAATTAGGAAAAATATTTATTTAGATTTTCGTCTTATTTTGACTTAATCTGCTCCTAAATTTATGTCCCTAAGTTTAGGGACACCTTGTATATTTATATTTATGTTGTATTTATACCTGTTATATGTTATGTTTTTTTGGGCTTTTAATTCATTTATTATAGTAATTTTAATAATAATAATAATAAACTTTATTGGAAATCCAAATGGCTAACGACTTTCGTCTTCCTGCCCTAGTAATTTTATTTAATTAAGAACTCTGATTTATTATAATGTTGTTACTTACTATTTTATTTAATTTATTTATTTTAGTTTATAATTAAATAAAATTAATATATTTAATGAATTGAAAAATTGTTCAGTTTTTTATAAATTACTAATTATATCACCAATTCATAAATTTTAGGCAACTTAATTTCATTTTCATTTTTTCATTCTTTAAGCGTTATATATTTTAAACAAGGCAGAAAGACTAAGGTCGTTAGCCTTTTGGCGTTATCCAATAAAGTTTTATTTATTATTATTATTTTAAACTTTATGATTGTCAATACTCATTACTAAAGTGATTTATTATCGCCTAGGCTGTAAAAATAATTTGGACCAATCGGGTTTTTTACCCCCTAGTCCGTCAAAAACCCGTTTGGATCAAACAAAAAATTCGACTAATGCCAAGACTTCCGGTTTGTTTATCGCAGTGTGCGGACTGCTTGATGAAACATTGTGAAATATAAGTGACTTTTCGACCTGGGTGGGACAAGTTTGGTGTCCAGATAAAGAAATATACCTGTATTTCTCGATAAAATTAAGTATGGTATACTATTTCTTACCGTAGTTAACTAAGGGCGAATCCGGGCGGGTGTTCATTGACTGTACGCAGTGCAACAACCAGGCATGATGGTCCAAAATCAAAGAACCACCCAGCTGCGTCGGCAACGACTCCCTGGGTATGTGGTTGAGGAGCTGCGCTACCGAAACGGTGTACACGCGTTCTCTGAGCTTTTCTCTCACGAACAGGCGCAAAATTTTAAACGGAGCCTTAAACCATAGGGGCGCCGTCACTATCAGGACTTTCTTTAATTTGGCAGGATAGCCTCCCTGGAAAAAGAAAAATGTCTTAGTATTTTTATTATATATATATATATTTTTTTAATAAATCAATATGTAATAGGGCACATTTTATTATGGTTTAAAATTTTACCAAAACAAAATGTTTTTATAAAATATTTGTATTAACATTAATTAAAAAAATGTAATATGAAGGAGCGAAACTTTTAACTTTTAATCCATAAAAAAATACAATAAAACATAAAATATCCCTTATAAGTTAAAACTCATCATATTATTTTTTTTCTATAGAAAACCCGTTAATGTGGTAATTGAATAATTATCTCTTGTAGGGATTCCAAAAACTAGGGCGACGAAATCTTAATAAAGCATCGATTAATTTTCAACCTTTGTTAAAATGTTTTCCCGAGTTAAAATTGGAACAGAACAATAAACCCAGCCAATAGTGGGGCTAATATTTCAACAAACAACGTTATCGGCAGTCCCAAATAAAGCGAAGATTCGAAATAAGAAAATGAAATTAAAAATTAAGAACATGCTTTGTATTCTTAATTGCTTCTGTGTTGACAGGGGTTTTCGTTTAGCAAAAACAATGGCAAAAAATATTTCACTAGATTTTCACAGGCAAGGAATATAATGTTTTGTGGGTCAACCTAAATAGTGCAATGTTACTTCTTACTGGATCTACATAATATGTTAGGTACCCCTTGGTATGTTTTATATATAAAGGCACGTATTTAGGTCACATACTTAGGAACTGTTTTGTACAGCGTAATTATTTTTGCTTTTAATATTTAGAACAGCCTACATACATTTAAACTGATACAGGTCAGCAAATAATGCTAAAAAATAGATAACAAATTTAAATTTTGTGATTTTCCAATAATTTCATAGCTTATTACTAGGGATGGGATTTTAGTTATTTTACCTTTTTTCAACCGATGTAACTATTTGAAAACCAATAATGCCAAAATGTGTTTTAAAAGATTTTCTTTTATATGAACCTAACTTGTTTTCACCTTTTTTTACCTTTTTTGGAGGTTTTTGCTTTAAACTACCTTTTTTATACTTTTTTACATATTTTTTTTAACTTGTTTTCACCTTTTTTACCTTTTTTGGAGGTTTTTGCTTTAAACTACCTTTTTATACTTTTGTTACATATTTTTTAATTTGTCAGTTTATTTTCACCTATTTTTACTTATTTTATTTTTATATGTTCTTTTTAAATTTTGCCCCAATATTTTATCCAGGGCGTGCAACGGTATAGATTTTTTCTTATGGTCACAGACTGTAACAGTAACTTTCTTTGGAGTTACCTTCTTTGTAGTGAGCTTATGTTCTGTCATAGAACTTCTGTGTAGTGAGTGTCACTCAGTGAACACACAGTTTATTGCATAGAAATAGTTTATTGTGGGTATGTTCTGTGTTTGGGTATGCGGCTAAACAAAATTATAAAAAATGCCCAAAACCAAAGAAAATCCTCTAAATAAACAGTTGGATAGAGGGGACGAATAAGTTTTTTCTATTGACGGAAAAAACTTATTTTGTAGAGTTTGCTGTAAAATTGTAAGGACTTTGAGGTTATGTTAAAATCTTTCTTTAATTTATATACATTTTAGCTATCTGTTTGTTACTCTAGTAGTAAATTTGGTAAATATCAGGTATTCCCTGTCATATTTTATGTTACTTATTTTTAAAAAAATAAACGAAACTTGAACTTTTAATGTTTTTTTTTACCTAAAATGCTGTTTTTTAACCTAAAATGCTATTTTTAGTACCTTTTTAGTTACCTATTTTTCAGTTTTTAGTACCTAAATATCCCATCTTTACTTATTACAGCTTTCATCATCATCTAAACATATAATAGTATCAAGTTTGATAAACGCCATTTTAGTCACGAATTATAATTAGACACGAGCGAAGCTAGTTAGGAATCTGTTTTACCGGCTTTCAAATTGTCAGTGTCAGTTTATCAAATTTTTCTGTAAAAACCAAATTTTCTTTCCTTTAAATCCGATTAAGAAGCAGTTTTTGAAAGTGAAGTGAAAAGAATGTTATTAGTACTCCACCCAAAATGATGATGTATCGGAAAATACTGACATTTGAGACTCAAGCTAACTTCAGCCCGTGACTAAAACGCCATAATCACAGCTTGTTAATTAATTAACACTTACTGTCATGAAAACATGCACGATAATGGGCGTTTTAAAGATGAAAGTAAAAAAATAAATCTATTTGTACAGTTTTCGTCCCGTTCCATTTCCACTAGTAAATAGTAAAAAAGTAAACAAAAGTAAAAAAAGTCCCTTATCTGACAATGAAAGTCTCTCAAAAATCGATTCAGTCGTTTCGGTTATTAATCTGGACTAACATTTTAACACTTCAATCGTATTTATAGGTAAGACACCTCTATTTGATCATCCCCATTCGAGTTTTTAGGTAAAAGTGTATAAATTTCTTGATTATTAGCCATAATTTTCATTTCAATTTTCAATTTGGTTAATGAAATTTCTAGGTTTAAAATGGTTTAAAAATGGTAACAATGGTTTCCAATAATAACGGTGCTCTCTAAAAATGAATTAGTCAAAAATGACTTAACTTTTGGGATGCCATGGTATTCCATGGTTAACCATGGTACAAGTAAAAAAGCAGCCACTAATATCTATTAAATTATGTACTCTCTTAAAATGAATTAGTCAAAAATAACTAATTATAAGTCATATTTGACTAATTGTCATAGTGAAAAAGCAGTCACTAATAATTAGTCAAATTCCACTGAATGAAATAGTCAAATTAGTAAATTTAAATTTAAAAAAAGTTTTGACCCAGCCTGGGATTGAACTCAGGTCTGTCACTTGACAAGTTTGTCAAGCTAACGTCTTAACGCATTCGGCTGTCAGCCGCTCTTATAAAAATTAATTTTATTTGTCAATAAATATGGTTCATAATATTTTAAAGTTTAATATATTATTTGTCTTGCTATTTTGAGCTAAACTTTTTGCATCTTTATTTGTTTTATGGGTCATTTAACCATGGAGAGGTAGGTATATGCATTAATTTCAAATAATACTTTGTTGTTGGCCGTAAACGACTAAAGAAATTAGTTACTTTTAACTGTCAGAAATAGTCAAATATGGTGACTAATCTTAAATTAGTCAAACTTTAACTATTTACATAGTAAAAAATAACTATTTAAAAGTGAAAACGACTATTTTATTAGTAAAAAATGCTTTTACTAATTCAAATAGTAGAATTTTGACTATTTCATTTTTAGAGAGTAGTCATTTTTGACTAATTCATTTTGAGTTTGACTATGATCATCAACAATATTCAGTCAAAAAAAAATAAAAAAATTGTAAAATAATTCACGTTTTCTTTATCATTTTCTGAAATTTTTTATATTTTTTTTTAGATTTTTGCGTTTTGTTCTTTTTCCAATTCGCTTATAAACATTTCTTCTGAATTTCTAGTATTACATGTCATTGTAATTTATGATTTTAAAGTTTATATAAATTTCTATGAAATAATTAAAAATGTCATGCCATACGACCACAAACTTATAATGAAAACTTAAAAAAAATAAAACAAAACGGAATTCCCAGTAAATTACATTTATTAAATCAAATTAGTAATCGTTAGTTATAATTTATATCGATTATTTACTAAGTATTCTTTAACTAGCCGACGAATTAACCAATTAAAACCCAGATAAACGTTTCCCAAAAAGCAATACACCCAATTAACTGACAGTAAATGCCCCACAAAAATTCTACTTACTCGAAAACTTTATCAGACAATAGAAGTTAGTAAACCAACAACTTAATGTTGGCGTGAAAACTATCGCTCAAGTCAAGAAAGGCACGGAATCACAAAACATGGAATCGATTAAAACCGCTCGAGTGGAACGAAACACAGAATCGAATTCCCGAAATCGTAGATGCCCGTTTTCCAGCCGACTACGAACTAAAAGGCGCACAAGTTCTGGACTCGTTGCACAAAACGCTGCAGGCCAGGTGTTACGTAGGAGCGCGTACAGATCGAATGCTACGAGGGGTTGGCACAATGTGTATTGCACATACACGTTTGCTGGGGTGACCTGATGCACTGTGGGAACACTTCGTATGTGACCTATTTGCATCACAATCGGGGACGGATTTGTTTGATTATTTTATTTAATTGGCTATTCTTTATCAGAGATGTTTACAGTGAATCGAAGTTATCGTATGTTGTTTTGATTGTCGTTAACTGTGATCCACTTACAAAAGAAAATGTTTCTCTTCTTTTATATGCAAATACAAAGGTTTTATCAATTTTAACAAGAGTAAGAAATGTATTGAGAAATTAGGAGAAAAATTGGTAGCATGTTCCGGCAATAATAAATTATAAAAATGTCTGGATTTTTTAGTTTGTTTTTTAATATTGCTTTTCGATTAGGCCAGCGGGGATTAAAAAAAACAAAAATTGATAGTTTTGATTATGTTAAAAGTATTTTACATTTTAGGTTGGATTTAAAACACAAATATTTCATTAACATTTTATATATGTAGTTTTTAAAGTAAGACCAACCTTTTTCCACATCCCTACTATCCATATTCTTTGACAGAACTCAAATTTTAAAAAATTATCAAAGAAACCATTGGTTTATATTAAAATTATAAAAAGGTACAATTTATCATATTTTAATAGTTTGATAAACGCCATTTTATACACAAATTTAATTTAAATTCATGAGGGTATAGAAAAGTTTATAAACGAGGTTCATACTATACTTTTTCTACGACAAATACTTATTATTATCTTAAAATGATTTAAATCAAAAATTTGTATAGAGCGCCATCTATGAAACAATAGGGGAATCTGTGTGTCACCGTCAAATGTCAAATTTTTTTATTTTATAAACACAGATTATAAAATCGAAATGTATTTCTTGAAAATTGACAGTTTTTCACAGTGGAAGTAAAGAAAATGTTTTACTTTACAGTGGAGTCCGTGTCCGAATTTAGGTTATAGTTTACTGCCGGCGAAATTAAAAGGTCAGTACAATGTTCATATAAACTTTTCAAATATTGGCGTTGAGAAACTATTTAATACTTTTGTATTTTTGTATTGAGATAATAAAATAATTTTCTTAAAACTAACTCCAGCCCGTGACTAAAAACCTGTTGCTAACTTCAGCCCGACTAAAGCGCCAAAAAGCCACAACTTGTCAATGTGTATTTAAAAGGTCACTTAGTGTCATGGAAACATGTACGATGGGTGGGAGTAGAAAAAATTAATTTTTCTACAAAAAAAACTATTTTTTTAAGAGTAGTTTTGACTTTTGATTGATTTTTGATTATTTAAAAAAAATTGTTATGAATATCATATTTTTTACTTCTGTAAAATTAAAAAATAGCTTTAATCTTCAAGCGTTCTATAATTTTAGCTTTATTATTGTCAACGCTCACTACCGAAGTATATTTAGCTAGTGAGCATTGGAAATAATACAAAATAAATAAAATAATTTAGAGCAATCAGGTAAAGTTTTTTATAACCTAGTCTGTAAAAATTGATAACTGCTGACAACTCTATAGCCATCTAAGCCCACTTTATAATTTTAATAATTGTTATTATTATTTTAAGTACGTTTTATGTACTAAATAAATATAAAATAATTAACATTTTTTTAAAGCGAGTTGATTTATTATTGAGGGGTCGTTTGTTTTACTATTATTTTAAACTGTAAATTGAATACCATTCTAAATAACATCTCTTGATTTTAGATAAAATTAATCTCCTCGAAAAGAATTGTTTCTGGATCCGCCCCTGAAATTATAGTCTTTTTTTTCCTATTCTACATTTTTAGTTCATTTGGTTTGGTTTTTTTTATTTGGTATTTTATATGACTGCCTAATTCTACAAAAAATAATAATACACTGCGCGTCAAAATTAACGCATAATAAGTAAAAAAATTCTAACTCTAAAACGCCTTTACCAATCTTTATGAAATTTTGTATAAGAATACTACAACTTATATCTCAGTTTACGTGTTCGAGGGTTTTTCGAGAAAATATTTTTAAAGCCCTTTTTTTAATATTAAAAAAACGCTCGAAAAAAAACTTTTATAGGGAATTTTTTTAAGTAAATAATTAAAAAGGGGTCATTTTTACCGACTTTGAAGCGGTGTATCTTCGTTACTGTTCGTTTGATTTGCACAAAATTTTTAGGGTATACTAACAAAAATACGGTCTTTAACAGCATATTTTTTATTTACTTAAAAAAAATTCCCTATAAAAGTTTTTTTGAGCGTTTTTTTTTAATATTAAATAAAAGGACTTTAAGGATATTTTTTGGAAAACCCCTTGAACACGTAAACTGAGATTTAAGTTAAAGTATTTTTATCCAAAATTTTATAAAGATTGGTAAAGGCGTTTTAGAGTTAGAATTTTTTTACTTATTATGCGTTAATTTTGACAAGCAGTGTTTAATAATAATATAAAAATAATAATTAATATTAACGAAATCCCGAGGTAGAGGTTAAAACATTTGACCCTACAATTATTTTCCGTATAGAAAAAATCGACCGTGAAATAAAGTTGATCCAGTGTTTGCGAAAACGCTAAAATGCATACGCGATTGAAATAAACCGCGTCTTTAGTTGAAGAAGGCGCTCTATCGAGTGCACTTACGCATTTGCATAGTGAATAGGTATTTGTCCTACTTGAAGTCCCCCCAGAAATAAAGAAGGAGTTGGTTTGGGGCTTTATTTCAAGGCAGCAGCACGCATCTTTACAGAGCGATAGATGGATGACTCATGCCGACTGCTGCGCCCCCTCCCGCCCGTTAGACGGATGTTTTAATCAAGTCCCCGGCCCCTTTTGTTGCATTTTTTATCGCCGAACCCGAGATCGACAGTGCCGCGACGGGGGAAAGGGTTAAGGGTTTGTTTTTAAAATGCGAAAAATCATTTAAATAAAGAAGGACCAACAAAATAATAAATGGTACTTAAAATCTTAAAATATTTACTGATAAAACATAAACCACTAATAATTAATAATGTTATTAGTCTAAATCATCATGGAAATAAATTTAAAAAAAAAAATAATTTTTATTTTCAGTTTTCATAAAATATAGAAGTAATATTTTTATATTTAAGTAAAAATACCAGGTGAATAATATTTCAAAATATTTTTACACAATTTTTTTAAGTAATTGACCAATTATTTTTAAATATATATCTTACACATAAACCAAATGTCTACAAATCATTAAATTTTTTTTAATTATAAAGAATAGGTACCAATAATATTTAAAATCCCAAATGTGCAATTGAAAAAGAAAATTAAAAAAATATTTACTTTATTTATATATTAGTGGCCCAGTCAGTACAGTTTTTATACTCGTAGGTACTATGCTCCACACCTCAAAGTCCCACCACGTGACTACGTACGGAACGCAGTCTTTTGAAAATTTGGTATTAAAGCTTTTCAGGTTATGTATCTGTCAAAGTATAGTCAACGAAAGAAATAATATTATGTTCAGGCTTTAAAAATGTATAAATCTTTATGTACATGTACTACACCCCAAAAAGCTTAAAAAAATATAAAAAATAATTAGACTTAAAAAAAAGTAATTTCTTTGAGAAAAATTTAAAAACAAGACAAATTAAGAAATATCAACATTGTTTTTTTACCAGGTATCTATATTTTTAAAAATTTGTTTTTTTGTTAAAGATTTTACGTTTTTCATCTTTACTATAGATACAAGATCACTGCATTATTATTTTTTATAATTTTATTTAATGATAAAATATATTTCTTTGTATACCTCCTTCATTATTTTTTTATTAAATTTCAGTAACATTTTTTTGTTATGGGGTTTTAAATTTGTAATAATGGTTAACAAAAATAAAACCATTTCTCAAAGAAAGACCTTTTTCGAAGTTCCTTCCGTTCTACTTGTAAGTAGATTAATATGTATTTTTAAATTATAAATGCAAAATACGAAAACATTATAAAAATTCAAGCAAAAATTATAATAAAGTAAATTTATATAATTTTCACCCTTAAAGAATTTTTATATTGCTTTTTATAGCTTTAAATACATTTTTTATTTAAATTTAATTTATAAAAAGGTTAAAAAACTTACTTATTTCAAAATAATTTATTGAACCTTTAAAGAATAAAATTTATTTTCTTAAATAACCTTCGCGATTTGATATTTCGATATTTAAGATAATTTCCTTATTTCTCATATTTTCTAATTTAATTTTAAACTTTATAGTTTATTCGTTTTTTGCTACTACGGCACTGTAAACAAAGTTTAGCAATAAAAAGGGATAGCAAACCAAGGACAAAAATTTTCAAGTTTAAGAAACTTCCTTAAGACTCTTAAAAGGTTAAAAAACTTACTTATTTCAAAATAATTTATTGAACCTTTAAAGAATAAAATTTATTTTCTTAAATAACCTTCGCGATTTGATATTTCGATATTTAAGATAATTTCCTTATTTCTCATATTTTCTAATTTAATTTTAAACTTTATAGTTTATTCGTTTTTCGCTACTACGGCACTGTAAACAAAGTTTAGCAATAAAAAGGGATGGCAAACCAAGGACAAACATTTTCAACTTTAAGAAACTTCCCTAAGACTCTTAAGACTCTTGTGGGTAATATACGCTCTTAAGTAAAGAGCCAATATTACACACAAGTAGGCTTGCGTTCTCATAAACAAAACCACAATTAAAAACAAACGGGACAATAAAAAGAAAAATTTATGTTATTTAACTGTTTTAGTAAAAAGGAAGTTTACAATTAAAACTAAAACCAACAGAACGGAAAAGCGCATCTTCTTTCTCTCGTTTATCAATTAAAATATAAGTGAAAAAACACGACATTTTGCTTTTTTTACTTTAAACCAGATTAATTAACTTCCTTAAATATAATAAATTATGAGAAAATGGCTTTAATGTTTAAATCAATAAATTGTCCAGGGTAAAATGACTAATTACTCAAATGTCACGTATCGTAAAGAATACCTTCAAAGGGGATCTATAAATAATTTTTTCTACTCCCATGGGAGTAGGTACACCTTTAAAACGCCCATTTGTAGTTGTTTTAAATACGCATTGATAAGCTGCTGAAGTTAGCAACATGTTTTTAGTCACGAGCTGGCTTTAGCTTTATTATAAATTAGGAAAAAGTAAGGTTATATCCGTCTGACAGTTCTCACTCTTTAATTTTGTTGTTTTTTTGTCTGTCATACTTTTCTGGTAATTTTAAGTTTGAACGTTGGCAATGCGGAATCACCACCAGAAAGAAGACACATTTACAACGTTTTCGGTTTTTTTAGTTAGTTTTGTAATTACTACTGTCCGTTCAAGAAATAGTTGCCAAACAGCACGCTTAATGTATGAGTTCGGGAATTATTACTAAAAATAAAGCGCTCACTCTTAAATTGTCAAAGCTCTCCCCAAATTACTGTATTATTTAGTAACCATTCAGTTCTCTTCGTATATCTATAAGGAAATTAGGTAATTACCTACTCTTTTTTAGTACTCTCTAGAAATGAATTAGTCAAAAATGACTAATTGTCATAGCGAAAAATCAGCCACTAATAATTTTCGTCAACAGCAATTTGTATCCCGGACATTTAGCAGTCAATTAAAATAAATTGTCCGGGAAATCCGAAAATGTCGTCAAAAGGTATAAAAGTATTTTGAGATATAGTCAATTTTCCATATAATATGGAATAAGAATTGGTTGTGGACTACAGTTATTATAATAATAGTATAATAATAATAGTTATTATAATAATAGTATAATAATAATAGTGACGGCTTTTTCACTTTGAAAACTAGTCATTTTTGACTAATTCATTTTTAGACAGTGGGTATAAATTTATTTTGTTTACATCATACATATTAAATAAAAAACAGGTAACAAATTTTAAACAAAAACTTAAAAATAAAATTTTGTCATATTTATTATTTTTTAATTAGTTTCGTTTCTCACACCGAAATATTATTAACCTGGCTTAATAAACCATGTGTACAAGTTTTCTAATGTACACCATGTTTTTTACACTATTTATAAAAATCTAAATTTAAGTCGCCAAAATTTTCGCTGCAGAATTTTTTTGAAATCGATTTATATCAATGGGCGAAATTCGTTCGCTTTGTGTTATTTTTGCGTAGTGCCGAATTAAAATCTAATGAACAATCGATAAATCAAGTGACCTGAATTTCTGTACGTAATGCGCGGTGCATTTCCGGACATTACCCCAAAATTGTTGATACGTTACAATATGTTTTGTTTTTTTCTTCAATTTATGGAAATTCATCAAAGACTACAAAAATTTATTTTTTGAAATGTAGGATACAAATTTTAACATTTAATCAAACAAATATTATATTTTGCTTTAAAAAGTGACATCAGAAAAGTCCCTCCCCTAGAGAAACGTTCTTTATAAAAAATAATATTATATATTATATGGTCCATCCTAACGTGTAGCTCGAAATGTCAAATTAATAGTTAAGGCTTCCTAGGGAATTTTAGCATAAATATAATACAATACGAGGTGTGTTCAGAAAATAACGGGAATTGTTAAATTTCGCGGGTTCAGAGGGTCCGGTTGTCATAAAAATTTTCTTTATTATGTTGGTATATATGCCCCCGAAGTATGATCAAAACTTTAGCTGTTTTCATTGTTTACTTTGTCTGTGGCAGCCGCTAAGGTTAGACGTGTTTTATGAGCTCGGCGATTTTTCGTTCGTTAAAAAAAATGGATCAAAGAATTTGTATCCAATTTTGCTTAAAAAATTAAATAAATTCTGTGAAATGTTAACAAAGGTTTATAGTAAGTCTGCTATAAGTAAAATAAGAGTTTACAAGTGGTATAAGAGTTTCCAAGATGGCCGTGAAGACGTTGAAGATGACGAACGCCCCGAACGCACAAGCACATTAACAGACAAAAAAAACATGAAAAAAGTGGAAGAAATGGTTATAAACCATCAGAGAAGTCGCTGATGATGTTGGTATATCGATTGGCTCATCCCATGAAATTTTTTCGAATGTTTTGGGTATGAAACGCGTGGCAGCAAAATTTGTTCTAAAATTGTTAAATTTTGAACAAAATTTTTGGCCAAAAACAATACTGTAATGATGCCCCAGCCTCCATATTCGCCAGACATTCCCAAAAATAAAGAGAACCTTAAAGGGCCGTCGTTTTGCAAGCATAGATGACATTAAAAGCGCATCGCTGAAAGAACTAAAGGCTATCCCAATTGGGATCGAGTTTTAGAAGTGTTTCGAGTATTGGAAGAAGAACTGGCACATGTGCATAATATCCAATGGTGACTATTTTGAAGGCGACAACATTAATGTACACGAATAAATAAATATTTGTTTCAAAAAACGAAAATTCCCGATATTTTCCTAACACACCTCGTACATTAGTACCATTAGCAATTTAAAACTTAACATGCATGCAAAAAAATTAAAACATTTCGCAAAAAAACTATGACAAAATCCTGACCTTTTTCAAGTAATCTTAAAAATGTCTTAAAGGCTATGCATCTTCTTTAAACGTCCTCACTTAAAAAATATTTCATGAGTCAGTTAAAAATTATCTCTAAAATAGATCAAACTTGTTGGCAAAATTACCGTGCATTACGTAATTTTCCTCGCTGCATAAGGTAAGGAAACGTCATGAGTCAGTCGTTTTTAAGATAAAACTTTTCGATTGGAAAAGTATAATTGAACACGATGTATGCAAGTATTTTTAATTTTTGCTGCCGTTTCATGTTAAGCTCGAGTATATTTTATATATTATGCATAAAATATAATATTTTTTCGTTTTTGTTGCGTTTTAATGGAGTTGGTGTGTTTAGACGTAATAAAAAATTTAATATACTTTTAGAAGTAAAAAAATATAATGGACATTAAACGTTTAGATGAAATTTTTGTGTTGTAAAACTCAGTCGGGAATACAAATTTTGTGATACAAACATTTATATTTGCTTTTATTTTTTTTATTCCTACTGTTCAGAGAGATTAGGGTGGTGAATAGAGATAATGTTATTTGTTATCAAATAAAGTTGTTACTACGGTATACGTACTAAGTAGTCTGTAAAACAGTTGTTTAAAATACTTCTTAAGTGAATCATTGTCTGAAATATTTTGAACTGTTGATCAACAATTAATGAGTTTAAAGCATGTTTACGCGAATAAGTGTAAAAGTCGCCTTGAGCATGTGTGAAATTATCAAAAAATACAAAACAATACTTTGATAAAAATACAAAACAATACTTTGATAACATGATTACACACAAATAATCTCTTTTTGCAAAGCCCTCTAGCTACGTGTTTTTTTTAACACCCTGTATACACATAAAAAAGTGAATTTTTAATGTTAGTACATATTGCTATAACTTTGGGAGAATTTACTTAAAACTTAAGCACTGATTACTTTATTTGTAAAACCAGAACATATTTTGTAATATTATACGAACTGTATAATAACCATTATTAACTTCTGACTTATGTATATTCCGTTGGGCCAATAGCGGTATTGATTGTTAAAAATAATGATTCCTAAATATTAAGGATTCATATTTGATTTTAAAGGAAAGTTAGGCTAACAATACATTATAATATTAATTTATTTTAACATTTAAACTCTTTACAATATATTAATAAATATGTGGTATTCAATATTAAAAGTTGGGAATGATTACCAAACACTTTTGAAAGAAACTCCCCAATATTATTTTTCTATTTAGTCGGCTATGCATTTATGACATTTAATAATAATTAATTAATTAATTATTTAATTGACTATATTTTTTTTAGTTAAGCGATTTTGCTCCAGGATTTTTTTTAAAAAGTCTTGAAAATTGATTTTATAAAAAAAATTGTGTATCTAGAAACTGGGTGGGTCAATGGAAAGTTTCCACCCAGATTTTCTCATGTGTTACATAAAAAAACTAAAAACGCTCGCGGATATCAATTTTTGATTTTAAGGGGACAATTTATTTTTATATTTTTTATATCTAAAAATTTAGGGGTGAAACTCACCACCGTAAGAAGAAAAAGTGCTGCCACAGGTATTTTGACCCTCATAATATCCACCAAGTTTAAAGTCGTTGCTCTTGTGATTAATTAATTGTAATTATCAAATAAAAACAGATACATTTTCCAAGATTTTGACAAATCGAATTTCAACTCGATCCATTAAAATTTTTGGGGGTAACTTCACCACGCTTAGGGGTTAAAAATATAAAAATAAATGGTCCCCACAAAATCAAAAATTGACGTGTGCAAGCGTTCTTTGTTTTGTTACGTAACACCTGAGAATACCGGGGTGGAAAGATTGCATTGGCCATTACATATGTATTATGTAAGTGAAAATTAAGGATAATAATTTTTCTACTACTATTAAGGAATATGATCGTTCTAATATCACTTTTTAATGTGGAATGACATATTCCTGAAAGTATTAAAGAATGAATTATTCTATCTTAGGATGACAAAATAAACATTGGTGGCGACATTTCTGTGTTTAATATCTAACAAATTAGACGGATCCAACCTCACTTTCTCCCAATTAATTTATTTTTCTATGGTATTTTTTGGAAACGTAGAAAAAGTATAGTCTGAAACACGTTTGGAATTGCATATTCATAAATATATGTATATGAGTAATTCTACAAAAGTTGGACAACTTGATGTCATCAGTCAATAGAGTAGGTATTTTAATACTTTTTGTAAATATTTTAGTATATTACAAAAGATCCAGGTTTTTATGTATTTTTTCAAAAGCACGTTTGTAGAAAAACATAATAAATATTCAAAACATCAGTACCTTGGCGTGTCACAACTCCTGAATTAAATATTTGAGTGGTTTTATTTTAAAATATATTCAATTTATCTTAAATTTTTCAATTTCACTACAAACTATAAAACATTAAATATTGTATTTTTCATATTTTATCATAGATTCGAATAATAGCAATTTTTAAAAAATTGATAATCTTTGTACTCACTTCTACCCGTCAGTTCTGTGTCCAATGTTAAAGTTTAAACGTCAAGTCCTCGTTTTAACTCAAGTGTTGGTAAAAAATTACCTAAAGAGTCCGCCCTTTGCAAGACAGTC